CTGATGGGTGTGCAAGGGAGGGTAGGGCCGCGACGAAGTTGTAATTTTTAGTAATAGTTTATGTTAATAAATTTGTCATTGAGATTTCTTAGACGGTCATGCCATAACAGCTTAAAGACGGTGGCGGTGAAAGCAGTTGTGCACACAGCGAAGTGTAGTCGTGCCTACAACCGCCATGACGGCATAGTAAAGAGCGTAGATGAACCTCAACAGGTTGCTATCGCTTTCCAGTTTCGAAACAGCGGATTTTACAAACTAGCGAAATGTTTTAAACGCGCCCGTGGACGAGTAAGCGCGCATTGAGAAACTTTCGCAACCCTCTTGAATATTGCTGAAAAAAAAATAAAAATAAAAAAAAAATAACAAAAACGCAAAAACATGGCTGTCAGCAAAATAGTTAAAGTATAAAAATGGAACCTTTTTTTTTTCTTTCTATCTTCAACTTCAGTTCTTTCGTTAATCACAGAGAAATAACGAATAAATGACTGCTATTTCGGAGTGTTTGAAATTTATGTGTATCAAATATTGGATTTGTCAGCGCGCCCACGTCGATAACCGAATGTGACACAGGGTCGATGTTTAGAGTCGGTTTTTAACGGCAACACTGTGTAAAAATTGCTCGAGTCCCCCCCTCGGGGGAAGTGGGGTGCCTCAGGTGCCGGCTAATGAACCCAGCCCCCTCCCGAAGGTGAGGTACTGCCTGTGGAGAAGCACCCCCACCGCGGCTTGAACATATTTTTAACTACCCCAGCCGAAGCCGGGGAAGTAATCAAATATTATCATAGAATTAGCATGAAAAATAGTCTATATCGCTCTAATAAATATTAAACTACTTTCTCTCTTATATAGCATCTTTCATATTTTATATGCCATGTCTCTTTAGGACGTGGGAAAATGGCTCTCCACAGCTTCCTACACATTGTATCTCAAACAGTATTTACCTTCTTATTATCCACCTTGTTTCATTTATATATCGTACCCCTTCAGGGGGGTAGGCAATCAGAGCAACTTCATATCCTTTGTACCTCTAAGCAAATTTTTATCTGTCACCCTTGTTCCGCATACCGCATATTTTATATACCTCTTCTCTTCAGGGGCTAGGCGTTCATGGTTCTCCACAATTACCTATCCTTTGTGGCACTAAGAAATATTTGTCCACTTACTATCACCCTTGTTTCTTTCACATCTTACATATTTCTTCTTTTAAGTACCATGTTCTTTCAGGACGTGGTGAGCGATCATAGGTCTCCACAACTTTCTCTCCTTTTTAGGTCTAAGTAATGTTTACCCCCTTACTTTTCTTCTTGTTTCTTTTTTTTATTTATATCGCGTTTTCCCTTTATATTCTGTGTCTTTTCACGGTGTGTACGGTCATAGCACTCCACAACTTCCTATGCTTTGTAGATCAGTGCAATATTTGTCATCATTGTGTCCCTCTTGTTTTTTTTCGGAGATCACATCTTTTATGTTCCGGGGACCTTTTATGGCGTGGGAAATCATAGCTCTCCACAACTTCCTATAATTTTTAGCTCTATGCAATATTTGTCCCCTTTATATTCCTTCAAATCCCTGTTCTTTACCTGTACTTATAACGCAACTTACCTAAATACACATATTCCTCGTTTATCGTCACATAATACTTTAACAATGTTTACATATTCACAGCTGCATAAGATTGATTGACTGATTCATTTTCTACGGCTTATCAACCCTTTGCAGGTTATTTAAAGCCAGAGAATATTTTTAGATTGTGAGATTTCTTTTTTTGAGATAATAATAGATTATACACAAACTGAGATATATATCTGAGATGAGGTATTATGTGCATTATTTACATGATTCGGACTATTGTCCTCATCTTTGTCGCCGTATTTATCACAACGTTTCGGCCCTTGTACGCTCCGGCATTTATAATAGTCCTCGGAGAATTTAAATCATGAATTTGTTTTGGTAAACAAAACCAACAGAAAACCTTTGACGTGTAAATGAAAAAAAAAAGGAATAAGACTAAGCCCTTATTGAATTAGAAAAAGATATTTTAATTGTATCTGTCTATATTTCTGAGATGAGGCATTATGTACACTATTTACGTTATTCGGATTATTGTCCTCATCTTTGTTGTCATATTTATGACAAAGTTTCGGCCTTTATACGCTCCGGCATTTTTCAGGTGGTTGGAATGTGGAACTGAACCCTTTATTTCGCTCACTGGGGTAGACTGTTCTAGTTCCACGTGCCATGTCTAATGGGTGTCAGTTATCAGTTATCTCCTGTTAATTCCCCTCTCCAAGTTCTCCACTGCCTTAACCGGGTATTTGTCCATGTGCCATGTGTCCTTGAGGACATATGGCACAGTGTATAAAAGCGTTGGTTAGATCCAGTGATAGGACCCAAAGAGCATGCGTTCAATACCGGTTAAGGCGGTGTAGAAACTTGGAAGGGTAATTAGCAGGAGATAACTGATAACATATTCCATTAAACATGGCACGTGGTAAACAGAACAGTTCTATAAGAAACATATCAACGTAAAACAGCCGAAACGTTGTAAATAATATGGCGACAAAGATGAAGACAATAATCCGAATAATGCAAATCAATGTAAACAACCATTTAGTGATACAAATGCTTAATTAACACATTGATAGGGGAGGGGGGTTCATACTATTCCCAAGGGTATTTTACGGAATATAACGAACCGAAAGGAAAATTGGGACTCGAATCTTCCGTTAACAATATCGCGCCATTATCTATTACATCACGTGCATATCCAAGCTTACATCACGTGCTCTTCCTAAGCAGCCATCCTTCTAGGTACTGACCAGTCTCGACTTTTCTTAACTTCGGTGACCGTACGGGTACCGGTATTTCAATAGATGCGTCGAGAATCGGTTTTTTTTTTTTTTTTTGAGGAATTTTTCCGATACCCCCGAGCTTATTAAAATCACCCCGTTTAATAATTTAATATTTTTTGACCATTTAAATGAATTTTCAATTCCTTTTCATTTAGATCCCTCCCCGTTTAATACCTTTTCAGAAAAGTTACGTCTCCACCGATAATTAAGTAACCCGCTTGTATTTGGTACCTATGAGTACAGATTGTAGACTTTTTGGTAACTTTGTCTTGCCGATAGCTTTTATTCTTTCATTTACGAATTACGGTCACATCACGTTGAAACACGTACGATCAACTAAGTTAAGCAACGTCGAGCCTGGTCAGTACCTAAATGGTTGACCGCATAGGAATACCAGGCGCTGTAAGCTTGGATTTGAGTGTGATTTAATGAATTATTATTATTATTTATGCCTCTTGATTACTTGGGGGGGACATGGGGGACACAGCAACACCTCTCCAATGGACATGGTTCCGGGCGATCCTCTTCAGCTTGGCCCATGTTGTGCCGGCTGCCTTCACTTCTGCGTAAACACTTCTGCACCAAGTCTGTTTCGGTTGACCCCCTTTTCGTTTCCCTTGTGGATTCAAATCAAGGGCCTGCATGCCCGGTGACACTAAAAGCAGGCTTGCGGAGTGTGTGGCCGATCCATCCCTATTTCCGTTTCTATATGGCAATCCCGATTGGGAATTGTCTGGTACTGTCCCACAGTTGGTCGTTGGAGACAATTTCCGGTCATTTGATATTGAGGATGTTCCTGAGACATCGGTTGGTAAATAACAGCTCAAAATTTTTAATCGGGGAGCTGTGTTCTAATTCCGGTTGGGTTCGTTAAATTCACTTGCGCGTGAGTAATCCTTGGGAGAGGTATGAAACCCGATCACCTCTACCCAGTCTTGCAATGATTAGTAAGACATGTATACCCCTATACCATTATTATCTCCAAAAATAAAATAAAATTGTGTAAAAATATTTAGATGTCGCCATTAAATAATTCAAAGAGTTTGATATGCCATAAACAACGAATCAACCAGTTTTCATTTATATTTTGTAATCTTTACTCGCCTTTGATATTTTTGGAGTGCAGTCTGTTAGTCTATCTCCAGTTACATATTGTTCTTTTGCATTTGAAAACTACATTTTTTAAGCATTTCACCCCAAGCAAGGCGAGAGTGCCACTAGCACGCAAGGTGTTACAGAGAGTGGGAGCAAAATTAAAGAGGGGTGTATGAAGAAAGCTCATCAAAACAATTACCATGGAAGTATTTTTTTAAGCTTTTCACACCAAGCAAGGCGGGATGGCCACTAGCATGCAAAGGGTTACAGAGAGTGAGTGCAAGAGTAAAGGGGGGGGTGTTTGAGGAAAGGATATAGAGAAGGACGGGGATCAAGATCAATGCATCAGAAGATGTCGATTGACATTACATTTGAATATTTGAAGATTATAGCTATCAGGGAAGCAAGTAAGAGGAAGGTAGTTCTACTGTCGGGAAGTGCGAGAGAAACTGTTGAAGCAGAAGAGGCGGTTCCATTTAACTGTCTCAACAGAAAATGCCAACCTAGTAGCTCGCTTAAAACCATGCAGATGGGGCATAAATGAAAGTAGCCCGTCAAAAGAGTTGCCATGAAAATATTTGTAGAAAAGACAGAGGGAGGCGACGTCACATTTTTGAGACGAGATGCCAGATCGGCACCTATCACATTGTATACTCGTCTCTGTATTTTGTCAAGGTCACCAGACCATATATGGCAAAAAGAATTCAATGCAAGGACGAATGGTAGATTTGCAGATTTGAAGGATGGACTCAGGCGAGAAAAAACCTTCTGGTACGACACAGAGAACCAACTTTCCTTGCGGTAGATGTAGCTATTGATTCAATGTAGATATTCCACCTCCGGTCAATGGAAAACGTGAGACCAAGCAGGAGCAGATAGACGCTCTCGTGGAGTTGGGTATCAGGAAGGGAGACCATGAAACACTATATATTTTTCTTTGTTTTTTTTTTCAACCTGAAATCTTCTTCTTTGTATCGTGTTCCTTTAAGACGTTGGCGATCATGGCTCTCCACAATTTCCTGTCCTTTGTAGTTCTTAACAAAATTTGTTTTT